GAAGTAAGAGCTTGTAAAGCGAGCGAAGCGCGCATCAAGGGTAATATTGTCTTTCTCCTTATATTTTTAATCACGCTTATTAGTTATATTAATTGTGAGCGGGTCATGGGGTCGAGTTTTGTTTTCGCGGATAGTCAGACTTTCCGAAACCCAACAAGACCGTATTTTCGTGTCAAAGGTGGGTTGGTCCACTTGGAACCTTTCCTATGGTGACACGTGTCACCTCATAGGGCCATGTGGCATGGGTAATTTTACCCAAAACACAAACTACAAATTAATGTGTGTTATATGTATAAAAATTACAAATTTACTATGTATTAATAAGATCTTTTTTCCATATAATTTTATTTCTTATGTATAATCTAATCTTATGATTAAAGGAGTAAAATTCAAAATCATATATTAGACTTTTTCTAATCAAGATAAAAAAAAAAAAGATGTAATCATAATTGTGGAGAAAATAATAAATTTTTAATCTAATATGGTTAGCATATATGTTCTTGAAGTGTTCCTTTCTTTTAAGTGTGTATATTTTTTATTTTAATGAAGCAACTTGAATGCCTTCTTTTTTATCGTATATAATTGACTCAATGCTTCTTAGGGTTGCTTAAAGTTGTTAATTTTTACGGTTTCAAAATGCCATCAACCATACAAATTAAGGGGGGGCGTTTGTTCCACCCAAAATAAAAATTTCATTACCTTTGTTGACCTTGACATGTTTAGGAGAGTTTGCCAAAGGGTTAACCAGATTTAAGATGTCTGACTTTAAACATTGTACCAAAGGGTTATCCAGTGGTAAAAGGATCATTGTCCCAAATAAATGCTGCCATAATACCAGGCCCAATTTAGCGAACCCAATTCAAAGTCAAGAAGAAGAGGCATTTATGTAGTTAGAAGTAAATTCAAAAGTGAGTGTGTGGTTGGCGCCAAGAAGAATCAATCCACTGACAGCTATAAGGAGATCATGGGGAATTTTCAATGCCTATAAATAGAGGAGTAATTTTCAGAAGAAAGACATCAAACAAAAGCATTCCATTTTTCTTAAATGAATTCTTTAGCTTTCTTAGTTTTCCCTTAAATTAGTAGCCAAACAATAATTTAGTTTACTTAATATGTATTTCATATCGTCCGTTTATTCCAATTGTATATGAAAATGGAGGTAATTCTTCCTTCTTCTAGTACATTATAGCATTGACTTCATCTTTTAATTAATGAAAAGCATATGCATCTTTTGTAAATTATTATCTATTCCTTTCTTTGGTGATTTAACTTTCCTATAACTTCTTCGAGGATAACTTCTTTACTTATTTGTTGTGTTATGTTAGTGAGGTCCGTTATCAATTTTAAACTACACTACTACAAAACATGAAAAACTAACCACCAATTATGTATAGACCCGTTATTTAAATAACGGGTCTATTTGATGCAAGAGATCCAATATTAAAAATGATTGTTCTCTTAATTGTATTGGGCCCCCAACTTTAATAGGAGAAATATATTGAGAGAGACAGGAGACCCGTTGTCTAATTTAATAGGTCTGCCACCTTTATTCATGAGTGAGACACTGACGCTCTATCACCTGTATTCATTTAATTCTCTTCTTACGGAGTATTTACGGGTATTTTTCCACAAACCCTACACTAAACCCGCCGTCAATCGATCACTTCCATCCACCACTTAAATTGTAAAAATATCTAAGACATGGATTCTTTCTTTCTTTCATATTATCAACATGGTTCCGAAAGTATGAACCCCACGAGCAGCACCAAAGAGAAAGACACAACAACAATCAGATTGTTTATGTTAAATTTAATTTTTCATGTTTGGACCAAGATAGATTCAGATTTGTCCCAATAAATTTAGCAGGTTCGAATCATGTTATTAGATTGGATAAGGGTTCTTTCCATAAATACAATAAAACATATACCAAATTCAAAGTGAAAGACAAGGCCATAAAATTGAGATTCATCTTTGGAACAAACACTAGTTTGTTTGGATAAAGAAAAGGAACGAAAAGAAGATGAGGGAGAGGAAGAAAAAATAATTCTCTCTGTCCCAAAATATAGTTCTCATTTGGAAGGGAGGGGAGAAAAAAATAATATTTTCTCTGTCTCAAAATATAATTCTCATTTGGAAAATAACACGGGATTATGAAATGATAGGAGGAAATACTAAAAGTACATTGAGAAACCAGTTGATGATCATTTGCAAAAACGAAGAGAGAGAAATGTAATTTACTTTTTCAATAAGTAAAAAATTAACAAAAATATTTACATGCCCCAATTATTACTGTGCATCAGATTCCTACACGTGCCACGCAGCAACGCTGAAACATGATATTTCCAAAAAAAAAAAGAAAAAAAAAATCATTCTCTCACCTCTCTCTTTTCAGTCAAACCAGGAAATAAAGCCTATAAATTGAACTTTAGATCTATGAAAAATTATTTTCACGATCTTTCCTAAGAAATCACTTCCTCTATTATGAATTTTTCAACCTACAATTGATCTTTTGTTGATCAAAAAATTTCGAACCCTAAAACCAATTTCTCAAATGGCGATTTTTTCTCAAAATTTTGTTTAAATTGGGTTTTTGATTTATATAATTGAAATTCAATCGATTGTTTCTATCAACATTTATGATCCTCCAAATACAAAAATTAGATGATTGGCTTCATCTCAAAACATTACCAAAGCATCACAAAAATGGCTACTTGGAATGGCAAATTAATCTTTGTTTCTTTTCGCTACGGTGCTGGTTTTCATTATGGTGTTTCCCACAAACATTTATGATGATGGTTCTGGTGAATCTGGGATTTTTTTTCCTTTTTAAGCAAACTTCTATTATAGTGTATTATATTACAATTATCATGGTACTTTGTAGTTTATGAATTTATTGATAGTTCACTATAAATTGTTGGTGCGTCCGTGCGTGTATGATGTTGGTTGGGAATTATTGTGATATGGTTTATGAATTGTGCATGTATGAATAAATAAGCTAATCTACAATCTTTTTGGATTGAAATGATTATTACAAGTTATGGCGTTATGCTGATATGAATTCATTATATTCATGTCCTCTTTTGCAAACGTTACCCTTTTTTTCCACTAAAGTTACTGTTTTATATCTCTAAGTTACCCTTTCACAATAGATTAATAAGCCCCTGTAATAGGAGGGAAATAGGGAATGACCGACAAGGGTATCTTGCTTTTTGACAAATGACTAGAGACAATGAGAATTGCTGCAAATTGTGGAACAAGAACTAGAGATGTCTAATTCCATCGATTAAGCTATAGATTTGCTCAATGATGATGATGATGATTTACTAATGAGCTCTAAGCGTCTAATATGTCACTACAACATACAAACAAGTCCCTGCCAAAGTTGATACTTGTATTTGTGCACACTAGTAAACACTCATCAATGGTGGATTTATATGTGGATTTACGGATGATCTTCTACTTGAATTTGAATCTGGGTTTTCTTTCTTGTATAGGAGGTATATATTTGACGTTAAGTTATTTTATATTGTGGTGTCTATATGAGCCTATTAGTTTGAATCCTACATAGGCTATTGTATTTTATATAACAATTGACACTTAACAATTTAACTTCAAATACCAGCTTCCAATCAATACCAAATAAATGTCTTTGACGTATATTTTAATCAACTAATCCTAAATGTGACACTATCTTAAGGAAAAACATCACCCTATTAATTAGAAAAAGTGCAAATATAGTTAAGGTGACCCTAGCGAGAAAAGAAAAAAAATGTAATAAACAATGGTTAAAATTACCGTAACCAAAGACACAATTGACCTTATTTAAAAGGAAAAGTGACCCTAACCAATAGTAAAAGTAACCTTGGTTAAGTGACCCTAATTAAGAAAAAAGTGACCCTAACCAATAGTAAAAGTCACCCTAATTAATAGCAAAAGTGACCTTTCTTAAGGGTAAAAGTTACCCTGAGTCAAAAATGACCCTAATAACCAATAGCAAAAGTAACCTTGTTTAAGGGTAAAAATTACCAAAATCAAGCACAAAAGAGACCTTACTCAAGGAGAAAGTGACCTTAACCAAAGACAAAAGTGACCCTAACAAGAACAAAAAGTGACCTTTTTTAAGGGTGAAAGTGATCATAGTTAATGCAAAAGTGACCCTAACCATAGACAAAAGTTACCCTAACAAGAATAAAAGTGAGCTTACTCGAAGGAAAAAGTGACTCTTTTTAGGAAAAAAAGTTATCCAAACTAACAACAAAAGTGACCTTACTCAAGGTAAAAAGTTACCCTAACCAACAATAAAAGTGACCTTACTCAAGAAAAAAGTGACCCTAACCAAATACAAAAGTGGCCCTAACCAAGGCAAAAACAAACCTAACCAAAAGTAGTTAAGTGACTCTAACTATGCTCAAAATAAGCTATAACAATGACCATAACTACACCAACAATAGGAATATACCAATACATTTATGTTATATGGGCTATGTGGGGCTTGAACACACACCATGCACACTATTGTACATCGCTCTACCATTTGAGCTAATAGCCTTGAAATTGGACACTTTGTCATTCTATCATATCCTTGGCAAGACAATCACATATTCACATGGTCAAGGAAACTCAATACTGTTAAGAGAAATTCCACAAAGCTAAAAGAGGAACAAGAGTTTACAGACAAAAGCTACACGATCATACATTACTAGATTTATGAGCAAGCCTATAGGAAGACCAAGGTAGGTATTTTAGGATCTGAGCTAGTAATGTAATCCTATCACAAATAATTATAGTGTGAAAAGAAGCAAGCTAACCCCTAACATGCTCAAGGTCCAAGCTAAACTATCACCATCCCCTTAGTTAGAAAACTAGTCACTGATCAGGGAGTATATTTAAAGTCCCAAATCAGATCATCACGGCTAAACAATACGGAGTAGTTTGATTTAATTATCATGAAAAGGATGGCTAAAGGCAAATAATGAATAAGAAACATATACTTGCATACATTACATAAGTGGCATTGCCGTAGAATTTTATAGAATCTATATAAGAGGTTTCTTTTGCACAACACACTTTTTTCTTTTCACAGATATATTTAACCTCCAGTTCCTGCAATGTCCTGGGTGCCTGACATATCTACCAATTGTTTCCTGAAGAGATTGATAATTGAAGTAATTGAAAGAACATGAAAAACAAAATCACACACAATCCCAATCCTAACCCCTAACATGCTCAAGGTCCAAGCTAAACCATCACCATAAGACTTATTATAACGCCACAAAAACATACGAAGTATACTAATAAAGCCATACAATTCTTACAACAATTCATCAAAACAATAACAAAGTAGATCAGGAACAAGAAATTTAAAACTTAACACATAATTAAAAATAGAAAAAAAAAATTATCAACACCTCTTAAATCGATTATAATAACGAAAAATATCATAAACACCTAATCAATTAAATAACAAATAAAAATCACCAATAACTCATAAAAACATCAACAACTCATTAAATCGCTTATTACAATACATTAACACATAAAAACATAGAAAAACAACAAAAACAGACAACAAATTTGAAAAATAAAAAAAAAAAATATTAGGTCACAAAATTAAGAAAATACACCTTCAATTTTATGATTGAACTAGTAGGAGGAGCAATTGTCTCCTTTTTTTGAAGCTTAACATTTGCCATTATAAATTTTTAATCGAAAACTAAAATTTAAATAGAAATTAGATGAACATGCCTTAAAATAACCAAAAATACAAATTTTGATGAACATACATACCTCAAAATTGGTTGTAGAAGATGAATTATTAATCAAAACAAGAAAATTATGTTAAAATTCAAGATTAAATTGAATAAAAGAGCGAAATTGAAGAACAAAGGAGAGAGAAAGATAGATAAAGAAGAGCAGAGGAGAGAGAAGAGAGGGAAGAGCGGAGGAGAGAGAAGTAGAGCAGAAAAAAAACCCATGATGAGAGAGAAAAATAGAAACTTAAAACTTTCGCACGTGTAAGCTGGGTCTCAATTACCGGCTTACCGCCATTCAATAATTTATTGTAAACCCGTTTTCTTTAAACTTTTGTGAAAGATTAAAGTAAATGAGTAATTTCCAAAAAAAAAAAACATTAACTGATAAAAAAGGAATTAAGAAAAAATAAGAATGAGAAATGTATTTAAGAACGGAGAGGTTAAATTTTCATTCCAAAGTTTTCATTGTTGAAGAGAACAATTTTTTACAGTTTAACCACTTCATTTTTCTGCCCTCCAATCGTCTTCCTCATTTGTTATCCAAATGAGAGAAATTCAATCCCTCCATTTTCTTTCCTTTGTCTCTATTTCTTTCCATTCAAACACTCTTTAGCTGCCCTATATTTGCTTGATTGTTCCATTAATTTTGTAGACCGATGAACTCCCAAATTTATAATGGTTTTTTTTTTTAAACCATTTGTCATGTATAATTAATTTGGTAACCATAGAAAGTGACAAATTAATTAAACACAATCACGATCCTCAAAGTCACACCAATAGAACAACAAAGCTCAACTGAACTTAATTCCCTAATTAAACTAGTTGATCGATCACAGCCAAAGTCAGCAAAAATATTTTTCCAAAAATATGTGCCAGTGGTAATCAACCAAAAATACAGAAAATAACATTTGAATATACATTGATGGTCTTGTTCAATGATCTGGTGTACAACCAACAGTTCTCGACCCATAATGTTAGAAGGCAAGAACAATTGCACAATGAACGGTATAACTATGGCATATTTGAAGGACTGCTCGTGATAATTAGGACTTTCAGGCTAGCAGCAAATTACAGCCACCACTTCTAGTTGACAGCAGGTCTAAATGAATGAGTTCCGTACTTTCATTCTCTATCTGAAACTCCAAAAAAAAACTTGTTTTCCGAATTTCATCAGCAATCCCACCATAATCACCATTTACCAATGCAATTGTGTTCTCTGATCTAAGTACTCCTTGGGTTATGAAGATGTTTGATGCATGATTCTCTTAAATTAAAGAAGATGCTAGTTTCCCAAATGCTCATCGACGCTTGTAGAGACAAGGCTTCAGCTCAGGCCATTCAATATCATTCACATCTCTCAGTTGCTCATCCTGACCAAAAATTAAAGTGATGCATATTCAAAATAAGAAACAAATAGACAAGGAACGGTTGATTGGCCCACATATGTGCAAAAACACAAAGATGACGAGGGCCTTTAATCTTAATACCCTAAAATGAAAAATTGAAAGGAAAGCAATTCACACCTTTTTCCTGAAGAAAAACAGGATGAACATTTTATTTGAGGAATCCTGTAAACAAGAACTCATAAATAGACAGTTTTACAGTAAAGCAAGCAAGATTCCAGAAGAGACATTATTTATAATATTAGAACAAATAATAACTAGAATAAACAAAAGAAAGAAACACAATGTGGTTGTCCATTTTTGGGGAAATAAAAAGCACATATACCTTTTTTACAGTAATAAATCCTATTTCACATATGGCTTTGGAAAATTTATTAGGATCTGCTCCTCCAGTGTTTGGATCAAACCTACTCTTTACTTCAGCTATCAAGAGCCACCCCCTAAAATCATCAGAATATCATCAGAAACATTCCACTTATATCAATAACAATAATAATAAAATTAAAAAAAAATAATAAAAAATTATTCCACTTATATCAATAACTTGTAAACCACCAAACTAAAAACATTGCCTTGGCTGCCTTAATAAAAAAAATAATAATAATAAAAAAAAAATAATGCCTTGGCTTAAGAACTCGGTATGCTTCCTGAAGATAACTAGGGAAATCAGTTCCCATCAGCGAAAGGCAGAATACAGACACATCTACGGATGATGATTCAAGGGGTGTCTGCAAGAACAAAACTTTATGATTTAAACAGCATTGAGATATCAATACACTTGATCAATGATGTTTAATTACAAGAGCATACTGCACCTGATCTCAGCAAAAAGTTTGAGCGTGTAGCATGAAATAAAGTCTAAAATACATGGAAAGTTGAAATCACAGCGGACTCCTTAACATATCTCACAAATATTTTAACTAGAACAGATCTGCAAGAGCCGACTTCCAACAATTGCTCATGCTTAAAAATGTAGTCCAACTCAGTCTCTATACTACAAAATTACTTTAGCTGATGCCTCTTAATAGAATCTTACATTTTTCTAAGTTATTTGTAACAGAAGAGGTGAATGTAAAAGGCCATGTGTTATAGTAATTCACAAGGTAATCCAGCCCTTTTTTTTTTTTTTTTGAAAGCCAAGGTAATCCAGCCTAAAACAAAGGCGGACTCGTACAAATAAAAAACAGTCTATATGACCTATACTTTATAAGACAATAGCTTTTACCACTTATTACAATAAGGGGCCGTTTGGTTGGGGGTATCATCAAAGGGAAAGGGAATGTACAGGCCCCATTCCCTTTGTTGTTGTTTGTTTGTCATCATCTATCATTCCCTTTACCCTTTTTTATTTTTGTGTTTACCCAAATATCTTCCAGACTCATTCCCCCCCCCCACCCCCCCCCCCAAAGACTTTTCCATTCCCATTCCCTCCTTCATTACCCATCACTCTCTCTCTCCTCTCAAACCCTAAAATCTCCATTACCTGTCACCCCTCATTGAAGCTCCAGCGACCACGGCAACCACCCAAGTTTGTACACCGGCGACGACATCCAAGCTGTTCCGACAAGGTACGACCACCGTCGACCCTAATTATCATGTCCTTGTTCTTTTTTCACGTTATCTACCTTAATCATGTCTTTTTTTTTTATTCATAAATTGTTGTGGAATTTATTCTTTATTCCTAAATTTTGAGGAATTTTTCACGTTGTCGACCACCGGCGACCCTAGTAATTGTTGTTCATGTATTTGTTAACCGTTTCGTTAAATAAGGTTTCATGAATGCTTCTTTTTTTTATTTTTTTATTTTTTTCTGGTTGTGAATGACGACAGTAGATGATGATGGTTGTTTTTTTTTTTCTTTTTCTTGAATGAATGCTAATTTGATGTTTATATATCTAATGTTCATATATATATATATATATATATATATATATATATATATATATATATATATATATATATATTTGTTTGTTTAGCTTGAGATTTTTATGCTAATTTGAAGTTTATATATTTGTTTTGCTTGAGATTTTTATATACCTTGAGTGTAAATAATATGTAAACTGGTCAATGATATGGTGTTGTTGATGTTCTTTTCTGCTGAAAATGGCTCGAATTGGTAGTTCTTTGAAAAGGAAGAGAAATTGGGACTTTATTCGGTTCATAATTACTATGATTAATTGTGTTGTGTTGCTACATTTGATGCGTTATTCAATAAGAAAAACTATACACAGTTCTCATTATCTTAAGCTAGATAAAAAAAAACTAGAAGAAAAATGAGATTGCACAACTTGAATAGAATGATTAGAGAAAGTGACACTTTGTGTAGGAACTATCTTCGTATAAATCGATACACATTTGGTGTACTTTTAGAGATGGTTAGAAATATTGGTGGATTAAATGAAACAAGAAACACATGTTTGGAAGAGATGGTTGCGGGCTTCTTATACACATTAGCTCACCATAAGAAAAGTAGAATGATTGGTGCACGTTTTTATAGAAGTGGTGAAACTATTAGTTGACAATTTCATGCTTGTTTGTTAGCAATCTTAAAGTTACATGGTATTCTTCTTAAGAAACCAACTCCAATACAAGAGGACTGCGACGATGAAAGGTGGAAATATTTCAAGGTAATTTAAAAAACCAACACTTCAATTTGAGATAAAATAGAGAGACAATTACATAATTTAAAGTGATATTGTTTGTTTTGTAAAACTCATTAGGTGCCCTTGATGGTACAATGATTCTAGTTAACGTTCCTTGTGAAGATCGATCCAAATATCGCACTAGAAAAGGTACCCTTGCTATGAATGTACTAGGAGTATGCTCACCCGAAATGGAATTTATATATATGTCTTACCTGGAAGGGATCGACACATAATGGTCGGATTCTTCGAGATGCTATTTCTAGGCCTAATGGGTTGAAAGTTCCAAAAGGTAATTTGATTGACATGGTATACTTTATTTGAAATTGACTTAGTAAGAGAGTAATTTTTATTTTTTTTAAAAAATTTGTCAAGGTTGTTATTATCTATGTGACGGAGGATATACTAATGGAGAAAAATTCCTTGCACCATATAGGGGGCATCTTTATCATCTTAGAGAATGGAATAATGGCCCCTGTCAACCTCAAACCGCCGAAGAATATTTCAACTTAAGGCATGCAAAAGCTAGAAATGTGATTGAGAGATGCTTTGGGTTACTCAAGGGAAGATGGGGAATTCTTAGAAGTCCTTGGTTTAGTTTACAAACACATGGTCGAATTGTGCTTGCTTGTGCCTTATTACATAACTTGGTAAAAAGATACTTGCTTGACGAATTTGATGATGATGACTTGTTTGATGAAAGTGATAGTGAAGATGATGGTGGTGATGCTAGTGATGAAGATGATGTGGAGTACATAACCTCCATTGTTGTAACCGATCCATGGACTAATTTTCGAAATACAATGGCCCTAAATATGTTCAATGATTGGAGGGCTAGACACCGCAGACTTAAATTGTGATATTATTCTTGTTTATTAAACAACATTGTATTTGTTATTTGAACTTGAGACTTGTATCTTTATTTCAATTTCGTGTTCTTTTTTTTTTTTTAATTGTTGTATTAAGTCATGGATGTTGTGTTGGACTTATAATAATTTCCTTTATGTATTTCAATTGAATATTTTGTTTGTTAATTTCATTTTTATATATATGCAATGTTATTTTGACATGTTAATATGGTTCAAATGTTTTAGTAGGATGGATGAAAGTAGTGCAAGTAGAGGTGGAAGGGAAAAAAACAAACGATTTTGGACCGCTCAAGAAGATAAAGTTCTTGTAGAAGCATTGTCAGAGCTAGCTGTCGATCCTCATTGGAAGTGTGAAAATGGGTTTAGAAGCGGCTACATGGTTCGCTTAGAGGAGATCATAGGTAAGGCTCTTCCTGGTTGTGGGTTGAAGGCTATGCCACACATCCATTCTCGACTGAAGACACTTGGAGCAAAGTTTAGGGCTATTTCTACTATGTTAAATACAAGTTTAGGGCTGTTTATGATGAGTTTTGCAAGGTATGATAACTTTTTTAAGGTCATTTGCTATTTTGAATACTTGCTATTTTTATATATATTCCTATGGTTGTGGATGTTTAGCATTTTTGCTATTTATTGATAAAGAGTTAAAGGACTGTGTATCTTGGAGTGCATTAGTTTTTAAGTTTTTAAGCAATTGTGTGACTTAGAGTGCACCAGGTTTTAAGTAAAAAATCAGATTTCATGTGTTTTTAAGTAAAAATCAGATTGCATCAGTTTATAAGTAAAAATAATATTGCAACAGTTATTAAGTAAAAATCAGATTCTGCCATACAAGAGATGATGCTGCCTTTACTATTTTTTTAGTGAATATACAACTAAATAAGTTCAGATTTTGTTCTTTTTAGTGTATATGAACACAAACAAAATCAGAGAGGCAGAACATACAACGATGAATACGTATAACAAGAAACAACTGAAACCAATATTTGAGCATTTTGGGAAATTTTGCATCTAGTAAAAATCATATTGCATCAGTTTGTATATTGAGCATTTTGGAAATTTTTGTGTTTTTCAAAAACATCCGAGCTGCAAAAACTTGTATGGAGTTTCATTTCCCCACTTCCATGAACTCATGAATGTTTATGGCAAGGATTATGCAACTGAAAACCAGCTGAAGATTTTGTTGAAGCAATCAACAATTTGCAAACTGTTGCCCCCCCCCCCCCCACAGGTTACACTCGATTCAAGTGATGATGAGGGAGTTGCTGCTAGTGATAATGGCACTCAGACCGTTACTTTTCCTCCAAAAAAGATGAAGGCTGAAAAAAGTTCCAAAAGAAATAAGAAAGGAAAAGGTGGTGCTGGAAGTAATGAGTTGGCTAGCTTATAAGCATTCATGAAAGACATGAATGTTCATCTTTCCACTATGGCAAATGTGATGGCACGCACTGATGATCGTGAATAGCGTGCGGATGAAAGAGAGCAAAAATTAGTTGAAAAGAGTGAGCAAGTGCTAGAGGAACTACTCTCTTTCAATTTAGAAGGTGTCACAGAAGCCAAGGTTTGAAGTGGCTAACATTCTAACCGCACAACTAAACAAGCTCATGGTATTTTCAAAGTGTCCCGACGCTTTGAAAAGTGCTTATGTTAAGAATCTTCTAGGAGGAAGTGGAAATTTTAATGCTTAAATCTAGTGTGGTGCTTTCATGTATGGTTTTGAATTAGGTGTTATTCACAAGCTACTACTTTTGGCATGAACTTTATCTAGATAGGACTATTGGCAAAGACTTGGGTTGAATGTTAATCCTATTAGAACACTTTTGGTATGAACTTTTATCTAGGAACATGTACTTTGCATTGGTATTATTTTCATCAAGAGGTGATTATTTGGATTTGTAATTTATGGAACTAGAAAGATGTTATTTGGAGTTTTTTTTTTTTTTTTTTAACATATTACAGGAAAAGACGATGATACAGGTTGATGGTAAATTTATTTTTTTTAAAATTTTTTAAAAAAAAAAAAAAAAAAAAAAAAAAAAAAAAAAAAAAAAAAAAAAAAACAGGTTCAAGTTTCACGAAGAAACAGGTTTTATTTTTGAGCAAAAATTTAAAGAATTTAAAAACTCAAAATTTGATTCCCCGGCTTAAACCAAACAGTCACAAAGGGAATCAATGAGCAGCTCATTCCGTTTCCTGGATACAACCAAACAACTGGGAAAAATCAGGGGAATTCATTCCTTTCTCCTTCATTCCATTCCAATTCCCCTCTGCGAACCAAACGGCCCCTAAGAGTAATGTCTTATTACTACAAGTTTCAAAATATTGTTCATAAAATTCTAATGCTCTTATGTTAGAGATTTAAAAACATAAATCCTGATGACCGAGCACATTCCCTTTAAGTAAATAAATAAATAAATAAATAAAATAAAATGTAACAGACAGCAAATACAAGGAACTTGATAAAATTGAATGTGAGTCAACTATGGAAAGAAGACAAACCTTGAGAGAGTATTTCGACGATCACAACTTTAGATCAATCCCCCAAATGTTTGGTGAAAATTGTATGAGCTTACTCTAATCAAACATTCCAATCCAAAAGAGATACCCTTGTGCTAGCTCATCAATTTCATATATTATGTTACCCAAAATAAGTGCTTGTTTGGTTAGATAAAGTATTAACTTCTATGAACTTTCAATGTCCATGAAATTTTATTTCCAAAAATTATTTTGGCTGGATGGTAGAAATTTCTATTACCCAAATCCCCAAAGGAATTTCCACTAGGGGCTAGGCAAGTGAATTCCTCCATTTAGTGGAAAGCAGAATTTCCTATGAAGTCTCACTTTCCATGTTAATGCTAACCAAGTGAGCACATACATCTATTTCCTACAAAATTACTTCCCATGTTTTTTTTTTGTCAATTGTCAACCAAAGCACTATTTTACTCAGTGTCAAACACGAATATAGGTCCAAGTATTAAGACTCAAAACTAATCTATTTTACAAACAAGTGACTACTTTTAATACTTGTGTTAGAGTGTTGAGAATCTGACTTGAATACTTACGGAGTTACGGTAAATGGAAGGCCCAGGTGACATAGTTGGCAACTTTAGACATCATTAAGGATCAAACCCAAGCTTCCAGCAGTATATATGTTTTACTGAATGAAATATATACAAACAACCATCCCACTAAATCATGGATCTAATGACTATGAAGTAAACAAGAAACATCCGCATCCACTTGGGTCAATGAAATGGGATGAAATAATAGATTGCAAAGGTGCATACCTTGGACATGTCACAAGAAATAACAGAAGGATCACTGGAAAGAAGATCAATAGAATATACTTTGTTTTTTACATTCTTTGATAACCGTGCATCCCCTGCATTTGACAAAAACAGGCACAATTAGCGTAAAAGTGATAATGAGAAGTGATAAGTGAGACTTCCAGTTACACCAGACATCATTTCAAAATAGGCATTAGTTTGAATAGGGTGCAGAAGACCTCACCACAACCAAAATCAGCCACAATAAAAGATGGATCATGATCCTTCAGCCATTTGATGATCACGTTAACTGGCAGCTCAGGCCAATGTGACATTTGTTCTTGATATCCAACATGATACTGGCATATAAGTTAAGAAAATTTCAAAACAAGCAAAGTATCAGGCAATGAGTATATCAGACACAAACAACTTCCTGGCAGCATATTCCTATGAATATATGATAGAAGTGGATATAACCACACACACACACACACACACACACACACACAAACACACACACACACACACACACACACACACACACACACACACACACACAAAATATAAATAAAAAATTTAAAATAAAATAAAATAACCAAACAAACATGAAAAAAACAAAAAAATTAGAATAAAAAAAATTGTGGCACATGCCACGTACATACAAAATTATGTAAACAAAAGAACATAATTCAGATGCTGAAGCAAAAGTTTACAATGTAAGAGTACAGTTTCAGCAAAATATAGTGGGACTTCCTAGTAAATGCAAGGTAGGTAAGTTTTTTAGTTGACAAAAAATTGGTGAAATGAGGTTAGTAGGACTTATTAGGAATTTCCACTTCCCACAATATGTAGGAGTTTCCCTATGTAATTTCCCAAGGTAAGTAGAAATTCTTATAGAAAGTTACTTCCCCTATTGATAACCAAACAACTTTAGGAAATTCCAATAAATTTGGATTATGAAATTTAATTCCCATAAAAATCGACCTTCATGGGAATTTATACTTCCTGTGTGAATCAAACAACCACTAAATACTTGGACTTAAGACAAAATCCCTATAGTTACAACTAACACTACTTCACTAGGGATGGCAACGAGTCGGACTAAGAGCGGATTATGTTAAATCAGACTCTGACCCAACAGGAAGCGGAGGCTAAATCCGACTCCGACATCCGACTCCGAGACTCCGACTTCATTATCCGACCTCCGACTCCGATCCAACCCCAATCCTAGTTTTTTTTTCGTTATTCAATATACTTTGAGAAATTAGGCTATTTAGGTCTTTACAATCCACACCCATTGCCACCATGACCTACACAAAAATCCACTATCTATTGGAGTCGGAGTCGAATAAGCCGTCAGAGTCGGACATTTGTCGGAGTCGGATTTTTTTTCTCAGTTTTTTTGTGGGATCCGACTTCGACCCTCACCCGACTCGGAGTCGGATTATTTTAACGGAGTCGAACTCGGATTACTTTTTTCTCGGACTCGAAGTGGATTTTTTTACCTCGGATCAGGACGGAATAGGGTTGGATCCGGATTGGATTGCTATCGCTTACTTCACAAATATTTCAAATCCAAGTCTTGCATAGTTGTAATATGAAAGAGGTGTGCTACAAACATCTCTTAAAGCAAACTTGAAGGGCCGGTAATAAGTACTTCATAGCATTAGTATTGGTACTCAAGAAATTTCTCAAGCAAACAAAAAGTATTTTTGGAATATACACCCTTGATAATGAACCAAAGAAGCCACTCCCATACCTATCTTGTAATTAAACGAGTAGAAATCAACTAATAGATTCCAATGATTTACATCTGGAACATCAATATTTCATCACAGATAGTGGCGAATCTAGGAATTTAGAGATGGGGGTACAAATTCGGCTTGTTAAAATAAAACTAATAAACTACAAACTTGACAAACTAAAATATTTATTGTTTCCACTATCTTATTAGTCATTCATAAATAACCAACTATATGAAACCAATAATTTTATTAAAGGTTTTATAGAACTTTAGCTTAATCTAAAGACCATATATATACACTAGAAATAGAGTACTTTTTTTTTAGGAAAGAAATAGAGTACTTGTAATAATTTAATCTAGTATAACTAATCACACTTAGTTTTATAAATTGCCATAATCTAATATACAGTGGTACAAATTGAGGCACACTTATTTACACCTAATATATATATATATATATATATATATATATATATATACTTAGTTTTATAAATTGCCATAATCTAATATACAGTGGTACAAATTGAGGCACACTTATTTACACCTGATATATATATATATATATATATATATATATATATATATATATATATATATATATATATATATATATATATATATATATATATATATATATATATATACTTAGTTTTATAAATTGCCATAATCTAATATACAGTGGTACAAATTGAGGCACACTTATTTACACCTGATATATATATATATATATATATATATATATATATATATATATATTACTGAAATCAGAGGAAAAAAAAAAGTTAACTATATCGATGAACATACTAAGGGGTCGTTTGGTTCGCACGGGGTAATTGGAATGGAATGAAAATCCCCAATTTTGTTGTGTTGTTTGTTTTGAATAACAAAGGAAACACTTCCACCGATCCAACCACCACACCACCACCACATTGCTTAACTTCCCACCATTTCCAGCCACCACCTAGCCACTCCACCACTCCCGCACCTCCTCCACCACTCGCCACCCTTCTCTGCATCTTCCCCGCCCCTCGCCGCCGTTCTCCGCGACCGCACAACTATCTTCTCCCCCGAAAAAACCTCCCCCAGCCCCCAAAACCCTAGATTTATTTTCTCTCCCCGTAAAATCGTTGGCGGCTCCCCCACCACCATCAAAACCCTAGCGTCTAAGGTTTCGAGGATGGTGGGAACGACAACTGATGGTTTTATGGGGAGATAGAAGTTGTTTCTAGGTTTCTGCGGGGTTGGGGGAGGTTTTTTCGGGGGAGAGGAGAGCTGTGAGATCGCGGTGAGCGGCGCCGAGGGGCAAGGGAGGTGCGGCGAAGGGCGGGGGGACGACCGACGGTGAGGGCGCTAGTTTTCCGGTGGTTTCGGTAGGAAGTAGGATGGTGGTATGGTGTTGTTGGGGTGGCTAGGGAATGGGAATGGAAATACCTAGGGGGTGGGAATGAAGTTGGAAGGATTTGGGGGAATGGAGAGGGTAAAAGGAATGGGAAAAAAGGCTTTAAAAAACAACAACAACAACAAAGGGAATGAGGGGAATGAGAGCAGTTGATTCCCATTCCCTTTGATGAGTACCCCCAACCCAACAAGCCCTAAGTTTAGAACCAAACGGTTCGAAAACTCTTTTATTTATATATATAAGAAATCATTAGACATCCATTAAATATTAACAAATATATTAATGTAAGAATAATATTAAAATGACTGATATTTGATATTAGTGTTATATGTTTAAGTATATAAATGATACTTTGTACTTCATCGTAATATAAACGTGAAGAGGACAAGAAAAAATTTACTCCCTCCGTTCAGTTTTTATCTTCCTACTTTCCGTTTTGAAATGTTTCTGTTTTATCTTCCCACTTTAACTTATTCCTTTTATGGTAAAGAAATTATCCACTTTTATCACTACTTACCCCACCACATGGTCCACATAAGAATATATAATACTTCCTCCATTTTCTTTTACTTGCAACACTTAGTTTTAAAAAGCACGCCTAGGCGCTGTTGAGGCGTAAGGCGACTAGGCGTCGCACATTTCAGAAGGCGAGCGCCACAAACCGCCTCAACCAACGCGTAAGGCGCATCGCTTGAGCCGCCTTAGGTTTTAAAGCGTGAGAAAAGGGGCTTTGGATTAGTTTTTGTAAAAAAAAACACATTTTTTTTCCAAATTGAAGCTTACCCAGTATTTAGAGTGATAATTCGAGCAAAAGCCCCTTGTTAATTGAACAATATCACTGCAATTTGACCCCTAATTTTAAAACCCTAATTTACGGGTTGCTTTGCAATTGAAAAATTGGTGAGGTATGCTACAGCACACATCGCCGGGGATCTATCCCCGGTGTTTTCCGGCAGCAAATATACCGGCGGCCGGCACCGCTGAAGCAAACCAGGTAGGCTTCTTTTTTCCCTTTATTCTCTCTCTTCGATCTCTACTCTTCTCCACGCTTTTCTTTTTCTGCTTCTTTTTTCTCTCTCCTCTACCCAACTAAAATAACGTAAATTTTTTTTAACTCTATTACTTTTTCAGTTATATACTTTTTTTTTTAATATACAAAAGCCTTCTCCTTCAGTCCTTCTGACTGTTAGTCACGCGACCAGTCTGACCACCCTTTTTTTGTTTTTTAACCAAAAAAAAAAAAGTAAAATAAAAATAAATTTAAATAAAAAAAATTTGCGCCTCATATCCAAGAGGCGTGCGCCTCGCACTTTTTAAAACTAAGTTTCAACACTTTCCTAAAAAGGAAATGTCACAATACTTGCAACACACTATAAAAGTAAAGTTACTTTAGGGAAATACTATACTATTTTTCTTATTTAAAGCACATGGCCCACTAAATTACACTCCTAACAACCACTCATCCTACTATAAAGTTTATTATATCATGTAAACTCCACCTTTCTTAATTACCGTGCTAAAGGGTGTGTTGCATCTAAAAGAAAACGGAGGAAGTAAAACTTTTGTTTTTAAACAACTTTCTCTCTCATACTTGAAAAGTAAAAATAAGGACCCATTTTTAAGAGAATTAATATACTCCACAAGTGTTTTCGATAAAAAATATAAAAGAAAAAAACTTTAAAACAAATATTAAAGTAAAAAACTCATTCTGGCAGAAGCGTACTTATATAACTAAAGAAAACAGTTCTAGACATTGCCAGTCTCTTTTCATTTCCTTTGTAGAAGAGTGCGGCAAAGACTATTAATGCTGACTCTATGACAAAACCTAAGAGATCAGTTTTATATAATAATCAGTCTCTTTGATCAATATTTTGTTTTCTGGAATAAGGATATGCACCCCTGTATCCGCCATTGTTTACAAAAAATCTCTAGCATGAGACATTATATTATTTCAAAACAGAATTACAAGTACAAAATCCAGCACAAACATTGTATGAAAGAACTTTTAACCACTGGACACATTTATTAAAGGGAATATAATTTTCAAAAAATTACTAGATGGTAGGGCTCGCGAGAATGGCAAGTGAACATATATGTAATAAGGAATCTAGGATTTAGATATGCATATAATAGTTTAGCTACTCCAATAGGTGGCTGCCACAGCCACCAAGAACACTAGATTCTAGAGTGCACTTACAAATCTATCTATACTTCTATACTTATATATTAAAAAGCGTTCCTAAAAACGTTTATGTGTCATGTGGCACCCTCGCTATGTCATTTTTCAACTATGAGCATATTCTAATAAAGTCTATCATAAAATTCGAACTCATAACCACAAAAATATGCATTAGGTGTCTTACCATCTCATCCATATATTAATCATGCTTTTATACTCAACTCATAAATATATAACTATATAGATTGGATGAAAATCTGAACATTTAATAGCTGTAATTCTTTTAAAAAAAAAAAATCGATCCTATTATTTGCTAGTTATGCTAATCGCAGTAATACATACAAGCAAGAAAAATTAACTATTGTTCTAAATTAATTTTAGTTATTTACTTATTTTGATAATAATTATGTCTTTATTTTCATTATATTATAACTTATAAACAAAGGACATGTTTATATAATTTTTTTTTACAAGAACAAGTTTATATATTTAATCAATAGTTGTTCCATAAATAATTTATTCAAAGGTTTAATGAAAAATTATTATAAATTATAAACAATATGAATAAATAAATAATAAAGAATGAACCTATCTATTCAATTACAAGTGTTTAAAAAAAAAAAAAAAAACAAAAAAAACACACACACCAGAGCATCGGGCCACACACTGGTTAGTAATTAAAAGTCATCCAAAACTTCCAAGTACTAGATGACTTAATTAGGGCTGGCAAAAGTTGTCCCGACCCGAAAACACGCCTCGAACCCGACCTGAGAATGACGGGTTAGGGTTGAGATTTTCGACCCGAAAACTTAAATGGGTCGACACGAACCCGACCTGAAAGTTAAATGGGTTAGGTTAAGGTTGAAAATTTCAACCCGAAAACGACCCACTTAACCCGAAATTATATTTTCGGCATGATAACCCAAACTAATACAGAGTATACGTTAAAACCAAAAAAAAAATTAAAAAAAGCTTAACAAAACCTGAAAAACGAAATAAGTGAATCAAAGCCCAAGCCCAAAGCAAGCCACCTTATAAAACTAAACCCTAAAATCCTATTGTGAATTTGTGATACTTTTCATATTGCAACCGTTTCTCTCTCATCCTCATTTCTAATTTCTCAAACATACTCAATTCCTCGTATCTTCATCAAATTCCTCACGTCATCAGTTCTTCAGCTCCTCCACCGCTCCACGAGACTAAGAGTGACGAGTATATAGCATACACATTCCTCTATTCCTCTCCTTCAAAGCTTCAGATCCTCAGTTCCTCACATGTTCATCATTTTTTTTTGTTGATTTCGAATTCTAATTTGTATTTCAGTGTAGACTTTATTTTGGACTTTTAGTATGTTGTATGTAATTGTTAATTAGGCTAGTTTCTTTATTTTTATGGCTTTATTATTTTGGTGTTATGCCGTAGAATATCAGTTAGAAATTTATTAGGTGGGATTAAAATATCAATTTGTTTCCCAAACAAAAAATCATGTCGAACCAGATTACTTTTGGGTTAATTTCAAGTAATTTTCAGGTCAAAACCTGATTTTTTTTTTAAAAAAAAAAAAAAAAAAAAAAAAAAAAAAAAAAAAAAGGTTACTTTTGGGTTGACCCGAACCCGAAAATATCAGGTTCAGGTTGGGGTTCTCAACCCGAAAAGTTAAATGGATCAGGTTCGGGTTGGGGGTCTGCTGACCCGAAATCAGCTGACGTGAACATGAACCCGACCCGACCTGATTCGTTTGCCAGCCCTAGACTTAATATCCATTACATCATAGGCGGTAATTTATACATATGTACTGTTTAACGCAGAACATTTCCCTAACTTTACCCATTTTGTCAATAATATATCTAGGATAAGTCATACAACTTGGATATAGTAACCATAAAAGTAGAAACTCACCATACTGAACAACGAAGGGTCCTCCTTGAAAAACTTTAGAGCTTCATTTCCACTGCAAAACAAAAGAAGGATATATGTGTATTCAATTTAGCAAAATAAAATGGCTAACAATACATCAATAAAAAGTTTATAACATGCTATACCCAATCATGCCCCCACAGGCCCGCAAGTAAAAGATTATAACAAAACAAAATTCAACTGTCAAACAATTCTAAACTCAATACTCATACTTTCACTCTATTCTAGGGGTGGGTCCAGTAATTCATGAATTCCAAAGATTCTTAAAGATGAACATTTAAAACATCCAACAAACAATGAAGTGGCTGATATCTGTCATCCACAATCCTAATAGAAGAGACGCAGAAAAGGGAAACATTAAGTGAAGAGAAAGGAAACTATACAAGTATCAACAATTCTCATACATTGGTATTGGACAATACACTAATTAATTGATGGTCATTTAGTTAGTGATAATATGGATATTATTCCTTGTATCTAGGTTAATTCCTATACCTTCTTTAGATACATTAGGAACTCCCCTCGTGAGAAGGGTTTCCTATTGTTTTTCTTTTATTTTTTTACCTTTAAATTAAAACAAATTAGTGATACTCTACAATGAGTCCCAAGATCTTTTTTTTTTTAAAATATATATATATATATATATATATATATATATTACAGGTACCTTATTTTCTAGGACTACAACAGATCCAATAGCCTTAAGATCACAAGTACCAAAATATGAAAGATTCCCAAAAAGAGAAGTAGGGTACCACAATGTCTATAAAACTAAACAAGTCATATAATATGAAGCCCCTAAAGTACACACTGATCAACCGCAGGAGTCTGAAAAAAATGTGCCTCTCAAGCCTCATTGCACTTTTTCTATCACAACAAATAACATTACATAATGCCACCTTCTAGTTTTAGCTTTTTTTTTTTTTCCGGGCTACAGTTGCTCTAATTGAGTACCATGACACAAATAGAGATTGCTACATTCACAAAATAAATATATTCACTATGTTGCTATGTGAACAACAAATAATTTTTAGCCAAGGGCCATTCAAATCTCAGGTATATGATGTCCCACTCAATTACAGTGAAAAAAGGAAATATATAGATTAGAAAATGAAAAAGGAAGAAAGAGTACAACTATAAATGTGCCTATCAATTGAAACCATCTTTAAAAATGATAAGAAATTAAAACATCAACATCCATACATATGCTATCAAAAACTATGTCATCCATTTTACAACCTTATTAGCAAACACTAAGCTACATCCTCTTGATTAATAGCACACATATATTACTAGTCATTGACATAACCCATAATTGTGATTTACAATCATCGGCATACATATATGACTAGTCATTGACATAACCCATAATTGCGATTTACAATCATCTAGGCTGTGATTTGCATCCTCTTGACTAACGTTACATAAAGGACTAGTCAGTGGTCATTGACATGGGATTAAATCCCTTACTATTTTATGGTTATAACATATAAGTCCTATTATGAGTTTATGACTTAATAGCTTTATTAATGCAGAAGCTAGATCCCTCCAAATTCACATTGATGTTAATTCCCTTGATACTCTCGCAGCGGCATTCAAGGTATTAATAGCTTGATTTTAGATTAATTTCTCTCTTATGGCATTCCTTGAGCTTGATTTTAGATTAATTTCTCTCTTATGGCATTCCTTGCATGATTTGGATTGGTTCTCAAAAGTAGTAGTGTTTTCGGGCAATGGTATACGTTCAGACTCTTTGAAGCCAAAAGGGGACCGAAGAAAAATTAGTCTTTTGCTAGAATTGTTTTGGGTGTTTTTGTCCCTCGGGAGAGTTACAACTCGAAGACTGGTTGCACGCGGCCTATACCTGCAAGACAACGGAGAACCCGGGTGTTTGGAGTTCCGCCTCCGACGATCAAGTTAGTATTTGAGTATAAGTAGGAAAAAGTGCGAAAAAAAAGATAAAATCTTCTCGAATTCCGAGATCAGGTGTTCTCTGATGTAAGAGAATGTAGGGTATGTGTAATAAATGATTGAATGTGTCCCAAGATTAGGGGATATCTCCCTATTTATAGGGTCATTGGAGAATGTGCCCTCTCTTAGGTCACCTGACCTAGATTTGGTGGGCTGCGCCAATTTATGGCGTTTTGGGGAATTGGGCCTTAAAGACCGCAATTCTAGAAAGCATATGAGGCTACCAAATGGACCTGCCTATGCTTGACACGTGGCCCTCTCTAATTGGTGCACATGGATAGGGCATTTTTACCCAAACATTTGCCCCTCACAGGTAGCACGCGGCGGGGAAGCCCTCGTTTTACCCCTCTATAAATAGCAGTTTCTACCCTCTCACATTTCCAACAAAGCATTTAACTTTTTAGAGAGAGAAAGAGAGAATTTCTAGAGAGAGAGGCTCTGCATCCGCGAATTTGAGATTTCCGCCTACGTTTCGAGGAGTAAATCCGGTCACCGCGTGTAGCAATTTTCAGAATTTCAGAGCTAAGTGTAAAGATAACCGCCTCTACTCCCTCAAAGATTTTAAGCTTTATATACTTTTTCGCTTGTGTAGTTAAGCTTCAAAAATAAAATGGACTCTCCATCAACCCACACGGCACCGCCTATGTCATTTAGCCGATCCTGGTACGGGTGAATCTAGAACCGGGGGTGCCTTTTCTGGACATTTGGACCTGCTTTGCTCATCCCCGAACTCCTCCGTGTCTATGCACGACACAATCGCCAAAGTTAAACAAACGGCTGTCAAGCCTAGGAAGCGGCGCGCTAGGAGAGTGCCCCCGATGAAGTTATTCCTGATAAGGAATATGAGGGTTCGGAGGAGGAGGAGGAGGTGGGTTCTCCCCCGGATGGCACCCCCTCGACCCCAAATGCGGATTCGATCGCGATCGCGGGAACGATCACGGTGTTGCAGTAACAGAAACGGTGCGGTGATCACGGACCGAGTATCGGTCATCGCGGTAGAATTTTTAATTTTTAAAAAAATTATTTAAATTCTAAACTGATCTATACAATTATTTTATGCACTTATATACTAGTAATAAAGTAATGATTTGCATCAAAAAAAAAATATAATAAAGTAATGATAAAAATATTAAACTAAAAATAAAATGGTAAAACAGTAAAAGTAACCGATAAAAAGAGTGATGAAGTGGAATTTAAAAAGTAAAAAATAAAATTTGAAGTCTCCTACCTCCTAAGTCTATCAATAACGTAAAGGGGGAGTTAAAAATCCAAAAATAAATGAAAGGTGTAAATAAATGAACCGCAAAACTAAATAACACTTCCTTTACCTACCCCACTATTTTAGCCTTTCTTTTACTTCCTCTTTCTCTTTCTATCATGCGGAGTTTCACAAGCTAACAATGGAGTCCGGCGGTGTATCGGCCGTATCGGTCAAAAATGCGGTGGTTTTGAAAACACCTTTACAAAACGCTAAATCGCGGTTCAGCAACTTCAAATTCCGTTACATCTCGGGCGAAACGTGACGACACGGCCGAGATTTTATTCTATGACCCTAGTGACACAATCTTGGAAGAGGCAGACGGCGAGGATGATGCCTCTTCCCAAAGGTATGAAGATGGGTCAGGCGATGAGGAAGCCGTCGAAAGATCCTATCGGGCTCTGCCAAGAGAATGTGGCGGCTAACTACCAACGCCTAAAGGGCCTGAAAAGCCCAATCCCTTGGAAACTAAGATACTTCCTAGGGACTTGGCGGTTATTAAGGGTAGCTTTCGAGCCTTTGCGGAGGCTCATCCTGGAGGATAGAGGTTAAGCCGCCTGAGGCAACGATTGCCTCGGAGGATGACATTGAAAACGCCGACAACTGTTTCGGCTGCTACGAAGCCGTGGTTAAAGTCGGCCTCTGCTTTCCCCTTCACAAAGGGATTAAGAAAATTTTAAAGGGCCCCCAACTCGTGGATAAACATTCTGAGCTATATCGCCGCCTGCGAGTTTCAAGACATAGAACCTAGTTTAGCGGTGTTTGCTCACATGCATTATATGAGCCGGAGCGGGTACGTGGCGTGGTACACTCTAACCACACACCCACTGATGTTGGACAAGTCGTCCAAGTGGTCCGGCTGGAGGGAGAGGTTTAACTTGATCTCCTCTCCATTGCCTTTGTTGATCTTTTTAACCAATTGTTTCCTTTCTTTTTGCTAAAAAAGCAAAGAACACGGTTCCTCTAAAGAGCAGCCTTAGAAGCCAAAGAGGCCAAGAAAGGAAGGGTAAGCCCGACTGCTAGACTTTCTAGCTTTTATACCAACTTAGTTATTTACCGGTTGTACCCCTTTCCTCGATATACAAATTTTCCGTTTGTAACTCATTTTCCATTTGCAGAATGGAAGCAAATCAATTCCCCACTCAATTACAAAGTTATTCAAATGGTCGGGGGATGAGATGGCCAAGACATCTTCTAAAACGGCAAGGAAGGTCCCTCCTCACACATTGGTTAACTATCTGCAAGTCAAGACTCTAGTCAACCCGTTTGAAGGTTCGATGAGCAGTCAGCATGTGTTGCTTTCTCACCAAGTACTTTTTTTTGTGCAGATCCCCCCTCCCCTGACATGCAGGTGTTTGCCAAGAGGATGGTGCGGACCAAAACACTCTATGCCTGGCACGTGGTGGATTTTGACCGTGGATTTTGACCGGATCTAGGGCCAGAGGTGGATATGAAGATTGCCCAATCAGATCTCAAGGCCTTGGAGGGAGCTGACAAGGAGAATTCCCAACTGCCATGGGTGTCTAGCTCGTCCAGCAAAGAAACCAGCACAAAGACGAGATTGCCAAAGAGCAAAAGCGGCCGGTGGCTAAAAATGAGTGGGACACTGAAGCCCGGCTGCATATTGCATGGGGTCTACTCCACCCTAAAATTGAATTTGATGTACTCAAAATGAGGTATGATTACGTCACGACGCTCAGGCGCGCTCGATGAGCAGGCTCCATCTCCCTTTAAGGCATGGACCCTTGAACAAGGCTTTTTGGTCTCCGATGATGAGGAAGAGTCGATAATCAGGTCTAGGCTAA